ATGCAAGTTGACACTCAAATACAACTTGTTGAACATTCAACACTGATTTCTTCAAACCAAAAAGGGAGCAAGCATTCGGACAAGAGGCATCTTAAGTGCACTCATTGTGGAGGTGAAAGGCATGTAAAAGAGACTTGTTGGGTTCTTTATCCTCATCTGAAACCAGCTGTGTTAAGGAAAGACAAGAAGCCTCAGAGGAATCAAACAACAAGTGGGAACCTTGTTACTAGTCACAGTGGTGATAGCTCGAAGAACACATCTATAGTTACACCTCCTCCCATGGGACAGACTGCTAATTCCCACACATCCGGGTCCTTGGATTTCACTACTGATGAGGTAGAGGTCCTTAGCTGGGCCTTAACCCGTCTAAGGACTAATTCCCTTGCTTCCCATCTCTCTTGCCAGATCAGGTATTGTCTCTGCTTATAGTGCAACTAGTTCTATAGAGTCTACTTCTTGGATTATTGATTCTGGTGCAATTGACCACATGACACACATGTCCTCTTTATTTTCTTCTTATCATTTGATGTCTGACCAAGATAAGATGAGAGTTGCTGATGGTTCTCTCTCCACCATCTCTGGGAAGGGGGGGTTGACCTAAGCAAGGACCTCTCTCTTAAATCTGTTCTACATGTTCCCAATCTTACTTCCAATCTCTTATCTGTTTCGAAGCTTACCAAGAATTTAAACTGTAGCATAACTTTCTTTCCTACTCATTGCGTCTTTCAGGACAGACTGACGAAGAGAATGATTGGGAGTGGTCATGAGTGTGGAGGTCTCTACTATTTTGATGCATACATCAGTTAGGCCTTACAATCATCTGCTGCCATTAGTCAGAATAATGAGGAGTCAATAGCTAGGTTACACTTGTGGCATGCTAGGCTAGGTCATTTACCTTTTTAGTCATTGCAAGGGCTGTTTCCTGAATTATTCAAGGGTATTTCAAGTCAAAGTTTAGTTTGTGAAGTGTGTCAGTTGTCAATTATCCAATTTCTAGTAATGAAATTCAAACTCCCTTTGATTTGGTCCATTCTGATGTTTGGGGCCCTTCACCTCTTGTTTCCGTAGATGGTTTTCGTTACTTTATCAGTTTTATTGATCACTATTCACGATGCACATGGATCTACTTGTTAAAAGGACGTGATGAAGTGCCATGGGTAACCATGGCATTTTGTAAAATGATTGAAACTCAATTCGATAAGAAGATTAAGCAATTCCGTTCAGACAATGCTGCTGAATATTTTGAAAGATCCTTGAACCTATTCATGGAGGATGCCGGCATGCTACACCAGTCATCTTGTGCTAGTACCCCTCAACAGAATGGGGTTGCTGAGCGCAAAAATAGACACTTATTGGAGACCACTCGAGCTTTACTATTTCAGCACAAGGTTCCCAAGTACTATTGGTCTCAAGTAGTCCTTACCGCATCATATCTGATAAATCAGATGCCATCCAAGGTGTTTGGTATTGTTTGGACTGCTGCTATAGTAACCCGAACCAGCAAGAGGAGGAAGGAGAAGAGGGAGAAGAAGAGAAGAAGAAKAAAGAAAAGAAGGGACTGTCGAATCTGATGGGTTAACCCTATCAGTCGACCCCTTAGTAGTTATTAGTCTCTAATCACATTTACAAAGACTAAACTGCCCTTACTTAAGTGTGGGGCAGAGTGTCTCTAATAAGACTGCCACATAAGCAAACAACTTAACAAAGATAAGATGACTAAACTACCCTTATTCGGCTCACTTTAACACTCCCCCTCAAGCTGGAGAA